CAGAAGAAGAGAAGAAGACAGAAGAAGAAGGCAGGTAGCCCTAGGCGACCCAAGAAGGGGTGTGAAAAGTAGCGTACAGCGCACGTGTACAGCGTATGGCTCACCTAGTGCTTGCTTCTTTAGGGAATTTTCGTTTTTGGAGTGCTTGGGGTTGGAGCTGAGTGGAGGTCTGTGCCCTTTTTGTGTTTGACCTTTGACCACCTTAGCAGGAGGATGTTTGAAGTGGCAACTTGTGGCTAGGAACTGTTTAGAGAACCTTTTGGTAGAGCACGATGTCTTTAGAGACTGTTTGATGTAGTTTCCTTGCAGTTTGTGTAGTTTGGAGATGACTAGGTACAGTCATGTACTCTTTCAAGAAGAGTGGATGTGCTTCTAAGAAACTAAGAGGACATTTGAAGACAGCCTATAAATGACTGTAACTTTGGCTCAAGGAGCGGGACCGAAAAGGGCGCGTTGCTACTGTGTTTTCACACAGGATCTAATGCGTATCTCACAGGTTGATCCCCGCATGACAAAATCGGATCATTTTCGCACTGCTTTGCTGCAGGCAGCGCCAGCCTCATACAAGCCAAGGAGCAGAAATCGGCGAGACCAGCTCACCGACGAAAGTGCAGAACCAGCACCCCTGACAGAGGTACCTGAGCCTGTCAGCCCAGAAGCCAATGAATCCCCAACCTCCCCTTCCACAATTGGCAGCACAGAAGAAGAGCATGACGGCTCCCAGCCCAATGCCACAGAGCCACCTGAAGAAGCGACGCCAGCCGCGACAATTGCAGCGCCCATGCCATGGAGCCGGTCTGACATGCTCCCTTTGCTGCCTCCCCCCCCTGGGGGGGGGGGAACTGGACAAGCAACTCCTGTAGCCTCTTTTTGGATTCTCGCCTGGTGGCTCCACACTGTCTTTCGTCATCGGTATTTTGGAGATTCCGAGTGCGAAGACTGTGGTCTTCCCTCTGTCACCAGAGCAGCACTGTCTTGTGTGTTGTGCGTGTGGGCGGCATCCGCCCGGTGGGCATGCAGTTGCTGCCAGTAGCAACCATTTTGCAGCAGGTCTGGCCGGGGGGGAAGGCGAAGGGGGGATTGTGGTTGGTTCAGCTCAATCTTCCACCGCCAGGCATCACAGAAACAGATCTTGTGGAGAGACTCGAATCTCTGGCTTTGTTGGCAGCATCGTCAGCTTTTCGGGCAAATCTTTGACCACTGCCTACACAGAAACGGTCACCCCCCTTGCGGGCTGCATGGAGTTTTTTTTGCACGGGTAAGGGCGCTATGTGTGCCGAGAGGCACAAGTCACCGTGATGAATTCACATGAGGGGTGCGAGGAAATGAGCCTGACCAAAGGAAGCAAAGGAACCAAAAGGACCAAAACACCAAAACCCAACAAAACAAACACCAAAAAAAAACCCAAACCAACCACAAAAACCAAGCAGATCAGGCTCATGTCCGCTCAAGACGTAAAAGGCAAAAGGTGCAGATCCGAAGACCAAACACAGAAGTGAAACGGGGCGATGAATTCCTTGCGGGCTGCATGGAGCAGCTTCCAGGCAGTGGGTTGGCGCCCATCAGGAAGGACAAACCAGTCCGGTTCTGCACATCGGTCAGCTGCAAAGCCAAATAGCAAGCCGCTCCAGTTCAGCTTCGAACTTCGACTTTGAGCTTTGATGTTTCGCCCACACCGTCCTGTGTATGCTGATGACCTTTGATGGGGAACGATGCTTGCGTGAGAACGTTGCTTAATTCGTTTAGTTTCATGCTTCTCACCCCTTTTCTTCTTGCGACGTTAGGCTCCGACTTTTGCACGCGCACTCAGGAAAATTAACAAACAAAACAAAACTGTCGCTCCCGCTGCTGTTTTGAGAAGAGGCCTCAGACTCGTGCAAATGCGCCCAATACAGCAATTGCCAATGTGCAGCCTGTGTTTTTGGAGTATTTAGTGTGCTTCCCTACGCACAAGCTTTCTGTCTTACGCACAAGCTTTCTGTCTTACGTCGACCGAAGATTGGAAACAATCGTGTGGACCTTCCAAGTGTGCGCAGCAACATGTCGGGACAGAGTTCCACACTGTGAGCGGAGGTCTGTGGTAGCAGACGTCGATCAAACGCCATTGCAAAGGCGACTACTACATTCAACTCGAGGCCAAACCAAAAAACGATTTGGGTTACTTTCTCCATGAACCTGCATGGGACTCACTCCCAACTCCTTTGGGATTGGCTGGAACTTGATGCCCAGCTAACACAGGCGCTCGAGGCCAATGAACTATGCGCGACAGAAATTCTTGTTTTGTTTCGTTGCCACCAGGCACTGAAGCCAAGGACATCCTGGGGAAGACAATAATGGGCCAACGAGAGCAAACTGCCGACTGTGAGCACGGAAGAACTCGGTGGATCTTCAACAAACCTCGATCTTGCAACGCACAGCGATTGTCAAAAAGGGGCAATCTTCAGCGAACACATGGAGAGATGCTCCACCTGGCACTGTGATCCCCACCTGGGTCTTCATCCTCTGTGTGTCCAATGGAGGAAGCAGCGTCCGAGTGGCTTTCCACCGAGACAGGAGAGTTCGCGACCATCTCAGCATCCAACCTCTGTGTCGAGGGAGCGCCGTTCTAGGAGCCGTGTCAGCTTCACCAGACGCTGGCTACTTTCCGTTCTTCGCGGTTGCTTTCGTGGCAGGGATGAAAGACTTCTGTCACATGTTCGGGAGGGTGCCTGCTCAGTGGGGGGCTAGATACCATCTCAGATGGGCCATGCATGCTGTGGGCCATGCATGCTGTCATCTTTATCAGTGTCCTTGGAAGGACATGGGCGACGACTGGCGGGGGGCAGGGGTCAGCTGGGAGGTGGGTGGGAGCCCACAAATCTTGGCTTTGCATGTTTTTGCCGAACCTCATTTTCTGCTGCTTTATGAATTGAAGCACTACAATGGTTAACACAGCTCCACTGCCTTTCAGACACTCACATTCACTTCAATGTGGAAACTTGGAGTTTCATTGAACCGGAACATACCTTGATTTATATAGCTTCAACTTGCGCACACGTGTTATCTATCCTCCTTGAACATAAATGCGAAGTGTTGTGGACAACACTTATGTGCAGTGGGCAGTGCCTTTAGGCCTCTGTCCAGCTTTTTGCAAAGCAAAGAGGGATCCCGTTGATCTTGACCTTGAATAGATTACCCCAGCGAAAAGTGCTAAGTGGCTTTTAACTGCCTCCTTCTGGCGACCATCTGAAAGTGCTGCCTAATTCATTGTTTCACCTGCACGTTATTGATAAAGAGCTTCTTTCTCAGCTGTTTTGATCTTTTCCCCCTCTTTTGTTCACCTTTTTCATCTGATCTTGCACTTGCCAGGCTCGGACCTTGGAACGCGCACGCAAGGACAAAACACATACTTGACGAGGGCGACCAAAAAAAGTCTCTGCTTCCCACCAAAGCCCTGCAAGCACCAATTCTTCAGCCTCTTCGCTAGTTCGATGATCTCAAGCCAGTGTTTGCATGAGTTTTTTTGCGGTTTCAGGATTCCGCGCACTTGAACTGTCGGATGAACTGCAAGAAAGTTGCCTCGGCTGCTTGTTGACCGACACTTCATTCCTTGACTGGGAAACTCTCAAAGTTCAAGACTTTGAAGGACCGTCAGCTGGCAGCATGCAGTGCATGTTCTTAGTGATCCACATGGCCAACTAGCTTCCAGGTTGGTTGTTCGCTGATGTTTCTTCAGTTTGGTGGTCCTCTAATCCTTTTTTGTTCTCTCCACCTCCGGGCTGCACTGCCAACAACAATCGAACTCAGTTGACGCAAAACATGCTGAAACTGTTAGAGTCCATGCTGGCATCTTGATCGCATTGTGAAACTTGAATGTCGAACGCATGAACGCTCGTCTCGCTCCGAGGCAGCGTGTAAACAGGTTTCATTGGCAAAAGCCACAGAGGGCACTTTGAATTCGCATGTTTGAATGAACATTCACACGTTTTTGGACACAACGATGAAGTTCAACAAGTGGCACGCTATAGAATTGTGTGGTCAAAAACTATGTCGAACATGGTACACTATCTAAGGTCGTTCAAGGTTTCTTGGAAGACGGACAATCTCAGACAAACACATTTACCCAACATTTTGGAGAGTTGAACGTTTACACTCACAGCAGCTCATGCACATGCTCAAAAATGTGAGTTTGCTGCTTGAAACATAGCTGATTTGCTTCTTGGCTGAAAGCAGTGCGGGCGGCTGTCTGACAAACTGATTGAATTTACACCTGCCTGATTGTTCGGGTTGGTTTTTGCGTGGACGTTTCTTTGTTTGTTTTGGTTCGTTTTCATGCCAGCCAGCAGTTTTGTTATTCTCCATTTTTGTGCGGAGAAGGTGTTTGGGTGTTTTGTTAAAACATACATTTCTGTCCATGGGTGCAATGGCATTTCCCTGCCAACAAACAAATTTGTTCATCGTTGAACGGGTCGTATTTCCGTTCTTTGAAATGCTTGAGAAAGATGGTGGAGAGTTGTCTGTGGTGGTTCGATGTTTTTTTGAGTGCGAAACGCAAACCAACAATTCTTTGATGAAGAGGAACGTGTTATCTAGCTGCTTCGTTTTGCTCTGTGAAGGGGTTCTTGTGAACCACCCAAGTGCGATTTTTGTAGCTGCGTTGCCAGTGCATGTCAACGGACCCTGTTGTGGTTGTTGCGCCCACTTTGCGCGTGTGATATGTTTCATTTATTTCGTTATTCAATTTGCAGGTTTTTGGTGCGCTCTGTGAAGGTTGAATGCATCGACTTGGGCTCCATATTTTTAGGGTTTGCTTTAGCATCTGTAAGAAGAGTTGTTTTGAAGGTGTTGTCATTGTTTGCAGATGAATGCTTGCAATTGTTGGTTTTGACCAATGACGATGTGTGATTCTGCGACGCATGAAGGTCTGGAATTGAACTGCAGAATGCGAAAACACAGGCTTCTGGCATCATCCACTATTACCAATAGTTGGACACACATCCACATCACCTGCCACTGGTTGAGGACCAACTTGTTTGGTTTGGCATCGATTGAGCTTGTAGCGCCATGGCCCCAAAGGTTCGTTGTGCTCAGTCCAAGGTGAGTCGGTGGGAAGGGTTTCATTCTGTAGATATTTTTTTGCTATATTATATAAATTGGGTCAAAACAAGACATCACAAAGGCGGATATTCAAATATTGTTTTGCGTGATTAACAATTGCACAGATACAAATCTTAAGGATGCTCGGATATCAAAACATGACGCACAGATTCCACAAGTTAAACACTTCAACAAAAGGTTGCGTCCTGCCGACCAACCTATTTACTGTAATTTGTAAATCGTCGGATCATCATGGCTCCTCGCTTCAGGAAGCGGCAGCGAAGATGGAGGCTGAACTTCTCCAGCAGCTCGAAGAAGGAGGTGTGCTGAAAAGTCAGACACGTTTGGGGGAAGGGATCCTGACCTTGCCTTCCAGGCACTGAGAGTTGCAACATGGGCCAAAGCATAGGGTAGGCTGGATGAGACCATTTCTTGTTGTGTACTTGACTGCGATCGGACCATCGTGTGGCAGGTTTGGAGTCCAAACGTGCAAAATGTGACCTCCAGCAGTCTTTTTCTTTTTTGTAAACGACACTTCAACATCTTCGCTGGTTTTGAGATGACCACCACGACATACAGGAATCGAATCATATCCCCCAATATACAGATACTACTTTATACAGATAGATAGATAGCTAGCTAGATAGATAGATAGATAGATAGATAGAGCCTCTGTGTTCTTTTTTTCTCCATTCTCACCAGACTTGCCAAGTCTTCTGTTCCAGCAACAAGTGGGTTTGTCAAACCAGCTCGAAGATGACGATGACTCCAAAAGGTGCTTTCAATCCTGTGTTGCTAGTAGAAACAATGGGTAGAAGCTGGACGTGACTGACATGTTGAACACGGAATATGAGTAGCAGCTGCTTCGGAAACAGAATGTGCTCTGCCCCCCTCTAAGCAGGGCACGGATCAAGAGTGCTGAGAACCCAACCAAAGCTCCTCAAAGCAGCTGAAAAACAGGCTTTTCAGAAATCTCCCTTGATTCAGATTTTTTTGGGGACACCCTAGGTGTTGGTGTACACTTTTCTTGGATCACAATGAAAGACTGATCAGGTCGTGCTGTCCTTTTTCAATCGTCTCGAAATCGAAGAGGTGGAAAAGCTGAAGCTTAAATGGGCTAACTGGACTGAAGGATTCAGCTCCGTTCCCAAGGGGTGCCTTGAAGAGCCTTGAACCGCAACACTGCAAGAAGAAACCCAAGGCTGGTACAGCGTACAGAAATAAGATGAAATCACATATGACATACACTTGGGCCCGGTGGAGGCACCATGGAGGGGCTTCAAGCGGTCTTTTCTGCGCTGGCAGACGCTCGGTGTTTGCGGGTTGGTGTTGGATGAGGCGGACGAAGGAGAATGTGGTTGTTGGGAAGGGTAGGGTTTCAATTGGTTTTTGGGTTCAAAAACAGAAGAGGGAATGACATGCCAGCTATACATGCCTTCGTTTGCACTTTTTGGAATGACACGAGGACGCCGAGATCGGGTGTAGGGCCGCAACTGAGCTTCAAAGCGAGACAGCCAGGTCGTGCCCTCAAATAAGAGGCGGTGTATTGGAAGAAGGCTGTTGTAGGTAGGCCCTGTTTTGATTTGACGATTTGTCAGCGTTTGCTGAAGACGATCGTTTTGACCCATTCTTTTCATGTTCATTTTGCGATGTGCATGTGCATCCCAATCAGTGTTGACCAAGAATCTTTGCTCCCAGCTCCGCAATGCTGGTACTTACGGGGGCATGCGGCATGGTCCTTTCATAAAAGATAGATTCTAACTTCACGATTGCCTGACCCACCCACCAGGAGACTGATGGCACTGATGGCTCATTGGCTCCCTCGAACTGATTGCCCTTGCAGCACGGAACCCGAGGCCAGCGAGACCTTCGTGTCGCACTTCTATGGCCGTATGCCCTTCGTCCTGGACTGCGGAGATCTGGTGGCCCATCGCTGGACTTTGGAGGACGACCGACGGGCCTGCGAGACCAACGCGCGTTTGCGTCGTGATGGCGTAAATGGGCCTCAGGCGCCAACGTCGTCTGGAAAAAGGAGGTGCTTTAAAGGCAGGGAGTCGGTGAAAAAGAGTAGGGAAGGTGGGGGGTGTCTGGGGTAAGTGGGGGTTCAGCCGGAGTGGAACATTCTTTTGGTATGAGTGCCAGCAGCCATCTGCCAGAGGTCAAAGGATTCTTCTTTTGGAGCTCGGTCATGGAGCTCTTTGGTGTTTCGAGTGTTCAGTCTGCGACAAAGTTGGGACCGACCCATGATGATTCCAAGCAGAAGAAAGCGTGGCGAGCAGCGTATCGCTCGGTCAATCCATTGGCAGGATCAAGTGCTATTGCTCCGACATGAGAGCTATGAGGTCTACCAAAAGGATGCATTGCCGAAAAAGCCGATCCAACTGTTTCTTCGATCAAGAGGGCGTTTTGCATTTCAGTCGGGAAATGCTGTTTAAACGAGTTTGCTTGTATTATGGACCACACAATATTTGCACTCTGATGAGTCATCGGACCTGTTGTCTTCACACATGGTCGATTAGTTCAGAAACTTGGGTTGGACCTCAGAAAACCAGGCCATTGGCACCTCTTTCCACGGGCCGGGGGTGCCGTGATCTAACGTGCTATGCGGCGTTTTCCAGGGTGCCCCTGGTGCAATACACCTGCTGGGCACGACCGGTCCACCAAGCAAGCACTCAACTTGAAAATGCTGACTTTTCTGGTGATCTTAGGCCGGTTGGTTTGCATACTGGCCTACTGGTTCCAGCGCGCTCAAGAAAGCTGAGGACGGGTTACAGTCGCTTCACACATCCTGTGGGAAGCCCAGTGCGATCAGCTGGTCGCTGATGCTACTGGGCAAGCGGAAAGATGAGCGTGGCACCACCGATCATGTCAGTTTATGGCTGGAGGCCTGTCCTCACATTCTGGCAAGAGAAGAAATCTCAGATGAATTCCCTTGCTTGGCAAATGGATACTCAGCAAAGTCCACCAGCTTTGATTTGGGATTAAAGAAGAACCTCTTGTTTTTTTTTTTTTTTTAACAAAAAGAACACATCGACCACCTGGCTCATTGACCACCTGAGGCCATTGGCCAGGCACAGGCGCACAGCTTCATGGTCGACACGACCGAGGTGGTCGACACGACCGAGGCCTCGGTGCGGCAAGGTGCGGACGTGGGATGGTTTTCGGTGGAGGGGTGGCAACTGCTGGGCCCTGTCGGTTGTTCAAGCTGTTTCTAAGAAAGAGGATTTTGCGTGGCAATCCGGTCTTGGAGCGGGTGCTGAACACACTCCTTTCCTGTGCACATGCCGCAGAACATGCGGTGCCAGGCTTGGAGATGGGCACTTGGGTGATCAGCAGTGGGAATTCCCTGTCACCGCAGCTGGCGCAGATTTGTCTTGCGCTGCAAAGCTCTTTCCAGGTGTGCCGCACCGTGGGTGGGCTTTCAGAGCACAAAAGGAAGTTCAGGGGGCTTTGCATATACCGGGGCCGGGCAGGGTGTGGCGTGCGAAAGGAGGAATGGGAGTAACCACCCAAAGACTGTTTCATGTTATATATATATGTATACATATGTAATGTAAAGAGGTGAATGACTCAATCCCTGCACTTTCTACCAGGCATAGCCTGCGGCATAGCTGGCCTACTTTGCCTTCACCTGTAGCTGCCGAGGTGCCATTTGTGACGACCAATGTCTACATCTCTCGCTTGGACTCACCCATCACGGCGCCTTTGCACACAGATCGCTTTGACTCCTTCATCATGCAGACGGAGGCCAAACAACTTCGGTGGATGTGTTCATGTGTTTCGTTGTCAGGCAAAAGACTACAGAGTTGTTATAGACTATAGACCTTATAGTTCTACAACCTTCAGAGGTTGTAGCCATCAACAAGCAGAGAAAGGAATTCGTGACTTGAGTAATGAGTCGTATTTATTCCTGACGTACCACCGAACAGGACCCAAAGAAATCACCCACAACCAGGTTTTTGCTTCCAAAAATTCCCTCATCCACAAGACCTGTTCCCCAAATCCTTCGATGTCGGCGCCCAATCACATCCGCAGGGGTTAGCTGGGTAGCTGCCGTCCGAAGGTTGACCTCACAAACCTGGTGACCAAGTCTGGGAAGGTCTCCTCCTCCTCCTCCTCCTCAGCTCCACTCGGATGACTCCGGACGACTCCGGCAGGGCGCCAAGCGTTGGAGGATCTTCGGCCCCGGCGCGGCCACGCCGCGCTGGCCCGTGCTGGATGCTGGGATGAGCGACAGGCGACGCTGGGATGAGCGACCGGGTGGGCCGGGGTGGAGGTTAGCCGCATGTAGCACAGTCCTTTTTGGAGGGAAGAGAGCCACCAATGAGCTGAGAGTGGGCAAGGTCGACTCCTTGCGTGTTTGCCTTTTTGTGTTGTTTTTTGCCCAAGGAGTTGGAAGCAACCAGTTGTCAATTTGACCAAAACGACCGAACACAAGTTGTTTGTCAAAGCTGACAGGGGCAAAGCGGGGGACGTGCTCTATTTGGAACAGGCGTGGGGGGAAAGAGTGGCGTGTTTCCTTGGAACATATATAATACTATAAGGTTTGCACGTCGTGGTTTGGGAGGCCATTCGGCATAAACGTTTACTGTAGTTGAAAGTTCAAAGGAAGCCGCTAAGCTGCAGCTTTGATCCAGGAGTTTGACAAGGGTGGTACTCAGAGCATCTTCAGGATGCCCCCAGCTAAAACTTCACCGTGGCGGAATTTGCTCTGTAGGCCGCCAGGTTGCCCGTGGAAGTGAGTGGTGGAGTGGATCCTTAGAAAGGTATAAACTACAATTATTGCATAGAACTAGAACAGGCAAAGATTCTCAAAGACACGAGATGTCGGTTGGAGGCCATCGCCACTAGGTTGGAGGCCATCGCTCTTAGGGTGCAGGTCATCGCTCCTCAAAGAATTCACAAAGACAGGAGATGCCCCCGAAGATGCGGAGCACTAAGCGCTCCTCCCCTTGGGCCCTCCTTTTTGGTTCTATCGAATCGACCCGAGCGGCTGGGCCTTGGGTGTGAATGGGCGGATACCCAGGCCCAGCGCGTGTATCGCCCAAAAGCAGCACGTGTGTCGCCCGAAAGTGCCGGGATCAGGGATCAGGTCACCGCCAAGTAGGCTGACCTATGCAGGTTGTGATCGGAAACAGTTGCAGCTTAGAGGCCTAGAGGCAGAGGCTTGTCTCGACCCGTCAGGTCGGCCCCTTGCTACTGGATGAATGTCTCAAATCTGGCGAAGTCGTGTACCTGCCAAGGGGCTTCCCACACGCCTTTTGGGCTGAAGCAGTGTCGTGCGTCCGAAGCGCTTAAGCCGTCAAGCCGCGGCTTTCGAAACCTGTCGGTGTCTCTGTTTGTTCATGCTTGTGGTCCCACATGGTGCTTCTATGGCAGTGGGTGGATATCAGGGTTGAACATTTGATTGACAGAGCGAGCTCGGAACAGGCTCGGTGCCTTGCACCGGGGCTGGCTCGTGTGATGAGGCAACCAGCACCTTCCAGACCAGTTCGGTGTCTGGGAAAACGGGCTACTCCACGAGCTTGACGGTGACCTGGTGGAATGGGGTGGTTACGGTGGAAAGTGGTAGTAGGACACCTTTTTGGGTGGAAAAGTGTCGAGATTCTACTCGGGCGTCGAAAGAAACCAGCGAGAGGAATGAAAAAAGAGTGCGAGAGGTGGGTTGATTCTCCATCGTCTTTCATTTTTACCATCCGCTTTGGCCTTCGACTCTCGTTGGGAGTCCACCTGAATACACCTCGTCGAAGCACGGAGTCGCTCGTCGGCGAGGTGAGTTTGCTGCTGGAGTCGGTGGGCCTCACCGTGGACAAGGTCCTCCGCTGCGCTGCCGGGATCCACGAGGCCGTGTGTGTGATGTGTGTCACAGGTGTGGCATGTTCCGTGAGCTTCCATGGAAAACTGGTGCGGGACAAAGGGGACCAGAGGGATTGGGATGAAGATGATGAAGGGATGGCTTTGCAATGAGAAATGAGTGCAACTCCTTGAGGAGAGAGTGCCTTCCCACGGAGTGTTTCTCTGATGACATTCAAGAATTGCCATAATGAAACGGTTGTTGGAATAGCCATAATGGGTTTCAATCCATAGGTGGTTCCAACACATATATTGTTCCAACACGCTGGCATACCCCCGGTCACATGCCCAGATTCGCGGCGGACATATCTTTGGTTCCTTCGCTTCCTCCAAACCTGGAAGGAACGGTTAGGCTCGTTAGTTCGGTTTCGGGAATTGGTTCAACGAGCCTAGCCTACCGCATGCCGCATAGCTTTCTTCATCTCCAGGGCCGGAACGCGCTGGGGCAATGCTTTGGTGCGGAAGAGATTCTGGTGGCCACGCCACAACACGAGTGGCTCGGTGTGTGGTGCTTTTCTTGTTGGAAGGCTGTTAGTTGGCTTTATCTGGTTTTGGCCCATCACCGTAGTATGGGTGCGACTCCAAAGATGGAAAAATGACAGACTGCGAACACGATGTGGAAAACACCCGGGAATAGATGGGAAGAGCATGCCTTTTATGGACTTCTACTCCACAACAATATCCAGTTGAATTCTCCCGCCCCCCAAACAGCTTTGTGTGACTCTGGGCTGAAAAGAGACGGGACAATGTTGACCTGGCCTGAGGTCACTGCGCGCTACGCTGCCCATTGGCCCTTTGTCTGATGCGCTGGAATTGTTGGGAATCATCTCGTCCCAGATGTGTCTAAGATTCCAGTTGACATGATCTCATTACAATAAATCCAAACTTTAAGTGACAGCATTATCCACAAAATATCTAGCGTTTTGCTGCTTATGTTTGGCGCCTCACACCAAGCGCAAAAAAACGCCAGGCTTTCTAGCGCCCTTAGTGGCACCGGAGCTCCGTAGATCTGCCAAGACGCATGAGGAGCAGGAGGAGATCTGGGTGGAGGCTGGGTAGGGCTCTGTCCATTTGGGTAGGGATTGAGAGAGTGGCCAGCCTGGCCAGTGGCGGTTTGGACTGTGGACTCCGAACCTGGACTCCGAGCTGAATCGCCGGTTTTGGCCCATGAATGGCATCTTCAAGTGCTGTTATGCTCTTCTTCTGGAGTGGTCAGGGCATGGTGAAAGAGATGAATCGCTTGGCAAGGAGTTGCCAACTGGAGACTTGACTGAAAAGAACGCCGGACCGATGAGACGCCTACCCGATGAGACGCCTACAAGGGGAGCTCCCTTAAAGATAGCTCGCTGTCCACCCGCCATGAAAAAGCCGGTGACGGGTGGTCGGGTGGGCATTAGATAGGTGCGGATAGAGATGTTTGGGGCACTCACGTCTTTATGTGCATTTGGACTTGGTTCGTGTGAGTTCGGAGTTGGGAAGATTTGTTTTTGGTGCTCACAACTGTTGCCACTCATTCACCACGGCACGTGTGCCACATGGTCGACTTCGCAGCCCGTTCGCGTCCCTCAGACCGACCTTCGAACGGAGGGCGTCCCGCTTTCGAACACATGGGTCGTTGGAGGGACCGTCGTCACCCCGGACGCCAAGGAGCATGGATGGTGTTGGTGCAATTTCATTTAAAGAAAACAGACATGGACAAAGAGTACACACTTTTTCATAGTCAAAGACACAGAACACTTTGAACAACTTCTTTTTGTCCTTTTCTTTATGTTGCTTCGTGCTCCAGGCCCGCTGGCTAGCGGAGCGGGACATGCTTGAGAAAGTGCTACGCAGGCAGGTCTGGGCAGGGTGCTTAAGGGGACAATCTTGACGATGGGGGTGGAGGTCGAACTACACTGAGTAGATCTGGGGCGCCGTTCGAGGGAACACGCCACAAGAACTGCAGGGGCGCTGCCCAGTCTTCCAAATTCTCAAGCAGCATTCAGGCCAAAAGGAGAGAAGTGATGGCGACACTTGGATTCTGCTGATGCAGATGGGTGTGGGTTTATTCAAGCTTTGTGGGCCTCCACAATGTACCATACCTGAACATCCCTTGCAATTCATGGTCGCCCTTGCTTCTTTGCTTCATCGCCTTTCCAAGTTTCTTACATGATTGTTCGTTCAGCGCATGCGCGTTTCACATCATGTAGACGGTTGATGGTTTTTGCACCCCGCGTTTGGATCAACGGTCTAAATTACAAGTGAAACCCACCCGAAAGCCTGGTGAAGTCATTGTCTCCTTTCTTGGGGCGCGGCGAGGGTGCTGAGCTACCTCTGGCATGCCCTTCCGCAAGCGACGGAGTGGTGCCGAGAGCGGGTTTACTCCACAGGCCTCGCTGGTGGGATGGCTGGACAAAAAGTAAGGTAAGCAAGCGAGCAGATTAAGGCAAAAGAAACACTTGATGCTTTGTCATTCTTTTTCCTTGCCTGGGTGGTTTGGTGGCCTCCCATCCGCCCCGCAGGGCACGACGATCGTCCGGCACGGTCCGTTTGGGCGGTCGTGGTTCCGATCCCAAAGACCCTCGGTCTTGGCACGTTCGCTGTGCCTAAAGACCTAGGATTCTTTCTTGGTCCCAGTGAACGGCAATGGCTAGAACTGTACACGAGAATTGTACTTCTACCATTTCTTTCCTCGGGTTTGTTGTATAAACATCCTAACCTCTTGAAGGACCGTCGTTTCCATGTTGCAACATGTCGAGCTTCCATTCAGGTGCTGGGATTCCTTTTTTCGGCGCTCCCCCTCCGCAGGCGCGGTGCTGAAGCAGATCGAGCCCGACCAGCGTCACGAGGTGCCGAAGCATCGGGGTTCGAGAGGCTGCAGCTCTTGGGACGGTTTCTGTGCTGCATGATTTCTTCCATCTAGGTTGGAGGCCACCGCTCTTAGGTTGGAGGCCATCGCTAGTAGGT